CAGAAGCTTTTAGCAAATGGGAACGTATTATGGGAATTGAGGAAAAATTTTTAAAGCAGCGATCAAAACTACACTGGCTTAAAGCTGGTGATGGGAATAACAAAGCTTTTCATCTGGCGGTAAAGGAAAGAAAAATGAGGAACTCAATTCGTGAAATTGAATGCCCGAATGGGGACATTGTTTCGGGCAATGGTGCTATAAAAGCTGAAGCTGTTTGATTTTTTCAGGAATTTCTGCAATTTCAGCCGACGGATTACGAGGGTATCTCTGTGGAAAGCCTGCAAAATCTGTTTGATTTTAGATGTTCGGAAATGGATCAGAGCATGTTAATTCAAGACGTATCGGAAGATGAGGTAAAAGCGGTGCTATTCAAGATGCCTTCTGATAAGTCTCCTGGGCCTGATGGTTTTACTTCGGAATTTTTCAAAGCGGCTTGGCCTGTAGTTGGCAGCGATTTCACTGTTGCGGTTCAGTCTTTCTTTGCGAAAGGTTTCCTTCTTAAAGGTCTTAACTCAACGATCTTGGCATTGATACCAAAGAAGGAAAATGCCAAGCAGATGAAGGATTACCGGCCTATATCCTGTTGTAATGTGATTTACAAGGTGATATCTAAGATAATAGCCAACAGGATGAAGGTGCTCCTACCGAAATTCATAGCTCCAAATCAGACAGCGTTTGTGAAGAATCGTCTTCTTATTGAAAACTTGTTGTTGGCTACAGAAGTGGTAAAGGATTATCATAAAGAGGAAGTGTCACCGAGATGTGCTATGAAGATAGACATTTCGAAGGCTTTTGACTCGGTTCAGTGGTCTTTCCTTCTAAACACGTTATCCGCTCTTAATTTTCCAGAAAAATTTATCCACTGGATTAAGCTCTGTATCACCTCCGCATCCTTCTCGGTACAAGTCAATGGGGAACTAGCTGGATTTTTTCGCAGTGGTCGTGGCTTGCGACAGAGTTGCTCCCTTTCTCCATATCTCTTTGTGATTTGTATGAATGTGCTGTCGAAATTTTTTGACAAAGCCAGTGAGGAAAGACGTGTAGGTTACCATCCGTTGTGCAAAAACTTGGGTCTCACGCACTTTTTTTTTGCAGACGATCTTATGGTATTTGCAGATGGGAAGCTTAGTTCCATGGAAGGGATTATTGAGGTATTTGAGGAGTTTGCGAAAATCTCTGGATTGAAGATTAGTTTGGAGAAATCTACCTTATATATGGCTGGAGTGCAGGCCTCGGTTCGACAAACTATAGAGGAGAGATTTCCCTTTGCAGTTGGATCTTTACCAGTCAAATACTTAGGATTACCTCTCACTACACGGAGAAAATTCGATCACGAATTAGATCATGGAGAACACGTTTCCTCTCGTTCGCCGGAAGATTACTGCTTCTGTAATCGGTTATCACAAGTTTGGTTAATTTCTGGTCTGCTGCTTTCTGCCTTCCTCGTGAGTGTATGGTTAAGATTGAGCAGCTCTGTTCAGCTTTCCTCTGGTCCGGGCCTGATCTCAATTCACACAAGGCAAAAGTTGCTTGGTCTGAAGTGTGTAAGCCTAAAGAAGAGGGTGGTTTAGGCATCCGATCTACGAAAGAAGTCAATAAAGTAAGTTGCCTGAAATTGATTTGGAGGATCATCAGCTCCGAATCATCCTTATGGGTGAGATGGATTCATATGTACCTCTTGCGAGGAACATCTTTTTGGTCTGTTTCAGAGAAGAGTCAGGCGGGGTCCTGGATGTGGAAGAAGCTCCTTAAACATCGTGAGACAGCAAGGACTTTTTGCAGAGTCGAAATTGGGAATGGATATGGTACTTTCTTCTGGTTTGATCAGTGGTCATCTCAAGGAGTTTTGCTCGAAAAAACTGGTGCAGGGGGTC